TGTCTGAAATGAACCAAATTATCGTTATGTAATTTGCACCAGTTATATAAATGATATTCATAAACAAGGATGATGGGGAGGGTGAGCAGAAAGTAAGGTTGAGTGAAATTAGGTAGAAATAGTACAGTAATAATAATAATAATAATAATAATAATAATAATAATAATAATAATTTCTCTCATTGTAACTAAAGTGAATACATCGATTACCTGCGTGGTCAATTAATTATGTAATTAACCAACACTAAGTGAATATTATTCACTCAGTGATTTGTAATCAGGTCTTATTAAATGACTTGAGTTCATCTACGTGTCTTGTATAATTGCCTTAGAATAGATTATTATTTTTTTTGGAAATTAAAGCGTAAAGATAAATTTTAATTGTTATTCAAGCTTAAAATTAATTTTGTTATTTAGAAGAGATCATATTACTTTTTATTTGAACAGCAACAAGTTTCCATTGTCATTTGAGTAACATTAAGAATTTCAAGTAATCTTTCCCATATTTGGTATCATTCAGTAAGCTGATAAAGAATAGGGTGTATTGAATGCATATCATCATCAGGAAGTAAGTCGGTTAGCCACGTCCCACTAGCTTAATATTTAGAAACTAGCAAAATAACTAGCGAAGGAATCTATATAAAGTATGAACAATGATGAACAGAAAGACCAATTCATAATTCATAAAACGGTATGTATTAAGAAAGACTGGAATTCATGATCTAAAGTACGGTAAAGAGCAAATGCATATGCATCACTATGACTGAGCTATATAACTGAACGTCTCCAACCACTGAATTCAATCAAGTAGGTAGTCTGCATCTTACAACAATGATCAGATCCTGTTTGAAAAGTACTTAAGAATTTAATTATAACTCAATAGGTAAATGTATATCAGAGCAATCAACGTGGTCATACATAATGACGAACATTTTTTGAATAAGATTTTAATTGTGACCTCCCTGCATTATATTATATTATATATATGGATTAATGGTTATTGGGATATTTTCACAAATCAACTGTTCAAAAATTTAGGGAACAGACTAACTAGTGAACTTCAGCAATGTTGGCTATGAACACAGTCAATCACCATTAACATCGAATTATTGTCATTCCATATCATTAAATTGACTAACTGAACTTAGTCGTCTCCGATATTCGGAATTCCTATGCTCAATGCTACCTAGAATCATTGGATGTAATATGTGACAAGCAGAGTTAAACTAAACCAAATAGTCGGTTTTTATTGGGTTTTCTACCGGTGATTGATTGATCAAAAAACCATCCAACTAAATCCTATGACATTTATGCTAATATTATAGATGAATGAAAAGTCGTGTCAAAAGAACGAGCAAATTAGTTAATCACACTAAAGAGAAAGAAAAGTTAATATAATGCAATATTTCTTCCTGGTAGTTTTACAGCACAAACTGACTTTAGTTAGACAACCAATGAAACTAGACAGTCCTAGATATGTGTCTTGTCTTAATGTGAAAATTGTGAGTATTGTGCATTCACGACATTACTGAGTTTTGATGTTTTTACAGAAAATCTCTTCTTTCCTAACTAGTGCTTTATTTTAAGGTTTATATAGTTAACAAGCTCAATAAGATTTATATCTATAATGATTGTGGAGGGGGAGGAATAGTAGTCATTGTAGAATTTTGATAGATAAATTTTCTAGAAATAAATTTTAAAAATATTTATCAATAAAAAGATGTACTTCATGTATAAATACCTAAATACATTCAGCGAATGAACATGTGAATTTCAACAATTATTTATATTAGTATGAGATTTTCAATAGTTGGGATCATGAGTCAATTGAAGCTAAACCACCATGGAAAACCTGGAAGCACTGGACGAACGTTTCGTCCTACGTGTGGGACTCCTCAGCAGTGCACAGCCACGACCCCCCTGCGAAATTCGAACCTAAGACCTATCAGTCTCTCACGCAAGCACTTAACCACTAGACCACTGAGTCGGCATCCAACGATGTTAATGTCTAACTTCAACCAATCCACCAAATTGAGCGACACATCCACCATTGTCTTTAATGAGTTACTATCTCATACCAGACCTGGTTGAAATCCACTGCTCACTGCTTATCACTAGAACTCCAGGAAATACCTCTTGAAGTCAGTCACTAGTGAGCATATGTTAATTTATATCAGAAGGCTTTTTTGTGGATAATATTGTAATTTCAACAGTTGAGACCATGAGTAAATTGAAGCTAGACCACCATGGAAACCTGTAAGCACTGGACTCATGATCTTAACCATTGAAATTACTATAATATCCACACAAAAATCCTTCTAGTATGAGATTTGTTGAGTTTATTGAATTTCATTGTAATAACAACCTGATTTACGTAAAAAAACACATGTTGAATAACCGAATTCACTGTAAGGTCGTTTCATTCTAGTATGAGAATCCTCGGAATTGCGTATTCCCGACCCAGAATATTCCGCTTTGCGCGCGTGAACACAACCTGTAAATTACTGAGCTGAAACTCATTTATATAAAAATCTAGTTTCAATCAATCCGCAATATCGTACAACCATCTTCCGGGTGAGTGGTTTGGAGATTAAGCTTTCCTGAACGAGACCGAATGTTCTGGAATCGATTATTGGTTGCATGTTCGTAGGTGTGCATTTTTGGGGAGTCTCATTCTAGAATGGAACAGGCTTCCAGTTCTTCCAGGTTTTAAATAGTTGTTTAACCTAAATCGTTTACATGAATTAATTGAAATTTCGCAGTAGTGATAGGTATTTGATACTTCCTCATATTATTAATCAATAGATAATTAGAACACTGGATTATTCCTTATTATTGTGAATGTAATTTTCATTATGGAACGTTGGTCTCAAAACCATTGAAAATCATGAACAGCTGTCTCGTTTTTGTTTTGGTATTTTTCAGTGCATATGTTGAAAAAATTTGTGGTCAATCAAGGAAAATTTATTTTCTATGAGGAAAACATGTTTTGAGTTCGATCAGTTTTTATTATGATACTGTCGTTATCTAACCAGTCACGCATAAAATAGAACGTGGAACATATATGTATCTGTTAAATTCACCACATCGTATTAACAAAGCAAGATGAAATTATCAAGAAAACTGCCAGAATAGTAGGATTAGTAAAAATATCACTGATATTAGAAATTATTAGGCATAAACATTATTCTCCATAAAAAAAGAATTTGCCAACTAAAATGTAAAAAATAATTTTGAAAGTGAAGAACTAAGGAAAGACGAAGAATAAATGAATCTGTGCTGTTTTGACTTGTGATCCAAGTCTATCAAACTTTCCGAACATCGTTACCGTAATTGCATGGATTCTAACCAGATAGTCTACAAATATCGACATGTCTCAATCCAGTAGTCGATGATTTAATAGACTTGATGAACTAGTATAATGTATAAAGCTTGATATTTAGGGAGTGGCTTGAACCTTCAATATTCATTTAGGAAAACTGACCCCAATAGGCTACCGAGATGCATTACATAATATTGTTGGTTGATTACTTTCAATGTGTTTATTAATGTAAGTAATGAACTCCTTCAAGACCTTTAATCAGTCTACTTTGATGCTAACCACTGAAATCGATGTCTAAGTTCGTCTTTTTCATAATATTTTATGCACTTAAAAGTTGGTTTACATCAAAAAGTTGAAAGCACCTGAAAAATCTACGAATATTCAGGGGATATTGAATAACATTCTACTGAAATGAGAATTATCTTCAAAATGCACATAAAGTATATATCTTAATAATAATTTTACATGTACAATGCTTGAATGTCCTAGAGAGTTTAATTTGGCATAATTCCATTTGGACAATATAATAAATTCTATTTTATTATACCAATTACTAATAAATATCCTAAAGAGGAAGAATGTATTTGTAAATTCTCAGGTAATGTATTATGAAGTAAATCCAACGTTTCGCCTTGTAATCTGATCCAAGCTTTTTCAAGGAAATATTTCCTTGATATTACAACTACATTCTTCCTCTTTAATGTCTCACATTAATACGGCGACCAAATAATGTGAAACTATTTAATCAAATTTAGACGAAAGTTCTTATTTAATAAGTAATCTTTTCGAGTCCCAGAGTGAACATCAACTTTAAGATGCAGGTACATCCAGCTGACGAGTCTCAAATAGGATAAAACGTGCGTCCTGGATTCCACTGTTAGTCAATATCTATCATTGCTTACAAAAACCTTGTGAATTAATGCAATATCGAAGCATACACACAGTATGCACATATGCCAATAACAGTCTGGTCAGTTGCAGTCTTAGACCTCAATGCGAAGATACAAGCCAAACATAACCAAATGAATCTGTTTCATTGCAGCTTTTCTGTCAATGAATAACAGTCGTTAACTATTGATTTACAAACACTATTTATGATAAATTAAAGCAATAAATGAATGTGTGATTTCAATCAACAGTATTCTTTCTATTATCTTATAAGACATATTTACATAAATTGACAAACAGGGATGTATATCTTACAGGTTTATTATATTTTACGCACAATTTACGTAATTCTCATTTATGATTGGTTGATTCGGCTAAGAGTTTTTCTCATTATTATTAAATCAACAACTGATTGGTTTGTGATAGGTTTTCTTTACCACCCCCTTTGTAATTTATATTTTACTTGAACAGAATAGATAAGAGAGAGAAGAAATGTGAGAAGTAATGAATAATGGTTGCTGCTCACGAATTATGAATTTTAACAGCCTATTTAAAATTAAAAATAGAAGGATGGGGAGAGGTAGTGAAATGATATTAAATATATACTCTTCTGTATACACGCACATACATCCACACAAATACACACTAAATATTCAACAGAAGAGTTGTAATATTCTCGATTATGTATGTGTGCATAGAGTTAATGTTTGTTACTTCATGTATTCTGACATATAAATAGACTCAATTTGACTTACCATATACAAATTGAGGAATACATTTTTCTTCATTAAATGGATTTCTTAAAAGTTCCATCTTTCGGTTGGACTGGACTGGATCAAGTAAGTAACTTCAATTAATCGTTTAGTTAATATTTTAATGGGTATTGTTGATTGTAAATCTAGATACTCTGTTATAAATTTACACTTACAATTTATTAAATAATTTTGGTCAATATAAAGATTTATTGGGTTAAATTCACATGCTTTAGACAATAGAAGACAGTTTTTTTTCATGTTAAATAGTTGGAGGAATCTCTGTGTTAGTTGGCATTTGTCAAAATGATGTACTTGTAAGTATTGGGGGACTAATGCTTCTTGGGGATTTGAACATAGATTATCCAGTTTCAGATTCTGAGACGTTACTATTGAGCTATTGAGATAGTAATTGATCTCGTGAATGACAGATCACTGAATAGTTAACAATGTCATATATATCAATTTCCATAACTTCTGTCGATTTCCTGCAACCATTTAACATGTACGAAATTTGCTTATTAACATGGTGATTAGTATAGTTGAAATGCTGACAATTTAATGACTAAAATATCTTTTAATCCAACATATTACTGCTATTAAAATATACATTTTTAAAATAAAAACCATATGAACTTTGCTGCTTACGTTTTATTGTTGGAAATTCAGTGTACATTTAATAGTATATGTAGATTGATCTAATCAAAGGAAGTGATTATATACTTCTTGGAAGACAGTCACAATATTGCTACTTGTAAAATTGAAATGTTGTGCCTACGCATACAAGCGTTTGTAATTAATCTATCAATAAGTAAAAGATATTGGATTGTATCCTTAAACTCCAGATTAAATAATTAGTTTATTTTATAAAATAATTTTCAAAATGAAATGTATCTTTTATAGAACTAAACTATAAATCATGTATAAATGAGTGACTTTAACACAGTTACACTTAGATCTTGATTAATGTAGAAATGGTAAGAATGGTTGGACACTATTTTAATGTTCTGAAATTCAGTTATTTGCTATGATACATGAAATTTATATGTTTGTTCTTAGAAATGGTCATAGGTGCACACTGATGACATGTCCTATGTTAGTCTTATGAAACTGTTCAGTACTCATTGGTTTTTATTACTGGTATAACTATAGAACTCAAGTACATATAAATTATCAATAGATGAATTTGTTTTCAATTCCTAATTATATTAAACTTAATGATAAAGTCCAGTTTGTCAAATTGAAATTTTAAATACTTTAGTTGTTAAAACTCATTCAAATAACAAATATTTCCTTGATACAGCATATTTAGAGACTATGTGATAAGAGAGTTTAATGTGAATAAGTTAATCGTGATATTAGGCAGTTGAATATGGTTGACAGCAATCTATGTATCTAGGTTTCGTGCAGGTTAGCAGTCAGCAGTCATCAGTATGACATACCTAGAATCTTAAGGAATATGATGCCTCCTTCCTCGTCCACCATGGTCAATTCGAACTCGACTAGCAGTAAGGAATAAGCTAATATGAGCTTTAACATTACTCAGTGATTAAACAATGTTAATTATGATAATATGATAGCGTAATTTTCTCTGCATGAAAGTATTTCAAAGGAATAATTTATGTTCAGAAGGGGTTTTGTGGAGATTTTAGAAATTTCACTGATTGAAATCATGAGTCAATTGAAGCTAGACCACCATGGAAAACTGAGGAGTCCCATACTAGGACGAAACGGCCGTCCAGTGCTTTTAGGTTTTCCATGGTGGTCTAGCTTCAATTGACTCACGATTCCAATCAGTGAATAATTTGTTTATTTATTTTGACCTCTATTCCATCGAAGATCTTATTTATAATGAATAACTGTCATTAGTTACAAAATAATCAAGATTTATTTAATTTTTACTTGATATATTTTAACTGAATTACAAAATAATACGGATTATTAATTCGTTTTAGTAGTATAGTGAAGATAAAATTAGTGTTTAGTAATAATTAGGCAGTTTAAACAATTTTCTATGTAAGTGATGCTTTGATAATTGAAAGAAAAATTTTGAAATTAAAAAAGGCAACAGATTGTCTCTGTGAGAGGTAAAGTTATATTGAGAAGGATTTGATATCTAAAGAAAATATATTATCTCTTCAAAACAATCGACAAATATAAAACAATCAAGAATGATATGCTTACTAAATGTATTTCTGAGAAACTATAGAATTCCTATAAACTATTTGGCAAGTGAGTTATTCATATCCACTAGAGGGTGGGGAGGGACATCATTATGATTTATATTCGCAATCCCATTTAATTGTGAGATTATAGGGGCCGAGAGATTTCTCTCTAAAAAAATCTTATCCTTATTAACATATAAACAAAAAATATTATGATTGTCATTATTTAGGCTCTAAATTAATTAGGAAATATTGAGGAATTTTATATTTGAAAGTATGGACAGTTATTGTATAAAAGAATGACTTGGAATATAAAGCATTCAACGTCCAATCGTTAAATCATAAATATTAATCTAGCTCTATGATATTTCAGTTTTTATAACCACAGAGTATCTCTAAACCGTATATGGGATAACTTGATGAAAACCATGTTCATCTGTATGTGTATTTTTACTGAGAAATTAAAAACACTTTGTTAAATATTGTATCTACCGTATAATTTAGCGATTTGGGCCGTAACTAATCTCCTTTAGTAATAAATATCTTTTTGTTACTTCCCAATGGTTAGGAAAATTATATTCCTGACGTTTCGTGACTTAATTTAAACCAAAACATTAAAGCAGACCTGCAGGCTTAATATTTCCATAATGATTGGTGTTCAATTATTATTTAACATCATATTAGTCTTGTTCAACTTTTACCTCAGTTTCAATTCTAATGATTATGTATTTTTTATCTCAATATTTTTATATAAGATATGGAATAGTTTTGGATTAAACGTTTCAATTTATTGTTCATATGAGTAGAAATGTATATCAGATTAAGGATGTCGGCTCAGTGGTCTAGAGGTTAGGTCCTTTCGCGTGACATCGAAGGTCCGAGGTTCGAGTCAGGCATGTGGGATCCCGGATGTGCACTACTGAGTACCCCCATACTAAAACGAAACGGTCTTTCAGTCCTTCAAGGTCTAGCTTAGATCGACACATCAATCCAACTGTTAGAAGAATATCCACAATGTTGACAAATTATGTACTACGTATGCACTGATAGAATTAATTCATTTGATAAAACATTTATTTATTTTGGTAAAAAAATTTAAAATTAAAATATACATTATTTGATCTAAGATATATATGAACAATATCCTCGTTTGAATTACACAATGGTCTATTTTATGTTAATCAAGTTTATTTTTTTCAAATATTAGTATTCCTATCTTAGTTAATTTTTAAATCTACCAAATTTCATTGTCAGAAGTGGTTTTGTAGCTTACTTACTTACGCCTGTTACCCCTCGTGAAGGAGAATAGACCGCCCACCAACATTCTCCATCCAACCCTGTCCTGGGCAATCCTTTCCAGCTCTTTCCAGTTGTTATTCCTCTTTTCATATCTAATTCTATTTCCCGACGTAATGTATTCTTTGACCTTCCACTTTTCTGCTTCCCTTCAGGATTCCAAGTTAGAGCTTGCTTCATGATACAGTTTTAATATTTGCGTAATGTATGACCTATCTATTTCGATCGTCGTTAACTCCATGCCCAACCCTCCTTCTTAAACAGGGCTTGGGACCGGCAGTAGCCCTAGAAGAGCTAGAAGCGGATTTGGTTGAGGATTTCCATGGTGAGCTAGCTTCAATGACTCATGATCTCAACTATTAAAATTACCAAATGTTACTAAATTTTTATATGAATTGATATTCTCACTGAATTAATCCAAACTTTCGAAAATTAAGACAATTGATGTTCCTTTATTTCGACTATCATTGATAGTAGACGGTGCAGCTGAAATCTGGTCTTTCGGGGATCTTTCGATTTATTGACAAATGTATAGTTAAGTAATTTTTATTAAATTGCACCTAAATATTCAATAATACTGATAACTGAAACAGTATGTTAATGGTGGATTTAATAGTTTTCATGAATATGAGTTTGAAAGGATGGACAGTGGTTTTAATGATAAGGTGACCGCCACAACGCCTGGAGGTCCTCTGGTTCTATTGTTACTGAGATCAGGGTGGCGAGCTGCTACAGAGTTCCATATTAAGATGAATCATCCAAGCAGTATTGCCTGTTTTTACGTCTTACCTCGACTAAGAAAAATCTTTGACAAGCACAACCTATAAGAAAATGTATCTATGAAACTCATGTTATATTTGATGTAATTATCGCCACTACTCTCCATCGGTATATTAGTTAGGGGTTAGTGTTGAAATTATTATTTTAAATAATATCTATAGGAACCAGTCTTTACCTGACATAATTTGTTTTTTATGTGGCTGGGAGTAGAATTCAGCATGTTTGTTTTGTTCTATTTGGCACTAGTCAGTTGAATGTACGAGCATACCTATAAGGATGTTTACACTGAGACTCCAATCCAGTGCCTTTCACATCAAACACATAATGCGTTAATTGTACACTGAAATACTGAGTCAGGATGTTCACTAACTTGTTGGTAATATTATTGATTTACCATATTTTACTGTGTTATATTTTGTGTCAATATCAGGCTACTTCTGATGATCCGATATCAGTTGGAGAACCACTGAAAACCAATGATCGATATATAATTATTCATTTTAGTTCATTAAACAATCATTTACCTTCATCTCTTTTGCAATTTAATTCTTTTCAACATAGATTTAAAGTGAAATACTAATTCAAATGTTAATAAAATAATTTATCAATTTATGGCACAGTAATGATTGATATAAATGAAAATCTGTATATGCTATATCATTCGAATATTTTAGTTCATTCAGTTCAAGCTTTGCTCATATTGTAAACCTTCTAAGTTATAGAACTTGTTTATTTTGAATTCATCAGTTAGTCAATGAAAATCATTTATAAATATATAAATATATTATCAATATCGTGCTGTGGATAATTGTTGAATTTTATCGAGATCACACCAATCAGTCTAAGTTAGACAAACATTGTAAACCTGAAAGCACTGGGCTTGTGTACTTATGGATCCCATGTTCACACATGAAATTGAAAGTACTAGGTTTGATTCTTGGATAAGGAAGATGGTACACATTTCTGAGTATCTTAATAATAGGAAAGACATGATCACCCAATGCTTACAGGATCGGTTCATGATCTTAATAAATATTACTAATTGAGTTCTTCATTTTCTTCAAAATCATAGTTGAACTTAAGATTATTTAATGAAAGAATTTCTAAAGATTTCATTTTTTTCCACTTAGAAAATTTTTCATATCACCTAGGTGATTAAAGTAACTTAAATTTCACTTCGATATATTCAATATCAAAATCTTCGACACTATTACGTAATCTATTTGTATTTCTTGATGATTGTCTATTTGTGTAGCTTTTATTTACGCTACTGATTGACTTATGCATTATAAACGACTTTATTTCTAAAATGAATAGTAATCAGTGTCAATAGTATGTTTTCATCACTGATATTTTAAATAATAAAGTGATATTTAATGTAATGATGATGTAATAATTAGATTTGATTATTAATCACTTTTCTGGTAATTATAAACACATAAACGCACCTACATATAAACACACACACACTGACTTATTTATTAATTAGTTTAGATGGTGGTTGGAGGTAGTCAACAGGAAACCCTGAACCCGGGTTTTGTGCTACTTGGCACTCGTCAGTAAGGTGTACCTGTAATCTTGAGGGAACTGGTGCTCCCTAGCGGATTAGGAAAATTGAGATCAGTTCTAGAGAACTATTATTGTTGTTGTTTTGGAGATGTTTAAATAAAAAGGAAAATGTAACTATAGAGTTTCTTTCTTAGTCAAGTTCTTACAGTATTTGTTATATTTATAAACAAATGGAGTAGTGTTAGTAAATATGTATCCATGTTTTAAATTTTAATAAACTAAGAAAAAAAACTATACATCGTGTTTCATCCTGTTTGGAACTCATCAGATGAGTGTATCTATATTTTAATGCACATATTCTTTTAAGGAGACTAGTAGTAGGCTTCAATGTCATCTGGGAATAAAAATTACATGGTTAGTAAGGTGGTTGTAGAGATTGCTGAATTTGATTGAAATCATGGATCGATCTAAGTTGAAACACCGTTGAAAACCTTCAAGTACTGAAGGGCTGTTTATTCCAAGTAAGGGACTACTCAGAAGTGCTCATCCATCACCCCACATGAGGGATTCCAACCCTTATATATATATATATATATATATATATATATATATATATATATATATATATATATATATATATATATATATATATGTATATATAAACGGAAAAATATTGATAAATTCATACTCACAATTGATTGGTCACATAAAGGACTTTTTTCAGTTAGACAACCATTTTAAACTAAAAATCGCTAGGTGCGCTTTTCTAGTATGGGGTTCCTCGCAAGTGTACACTCATCTGTCGAACCCAGAACATTTCAAATCTATTGGCGGGCGATCAACTTTTATATTACTAAGTAGAAATTTAACTGTTTATATTTTTAATTTCAATCCATTCACAATATTATGCAAACCTAAACACAAAGTGCCTCATATACTCGATGTGGTTGTATTTTACTGATTTCGGTTTTTCATCAGAATTCCTCGAAATTGGTCAGTGGTGAACACATGTTTGCATAATTAAGATCAATCTGTGATATTAGTTATGAATTTTATTAATATCCATAAACATCCAATAGCGATAGTTATGGATAAACTGGATGATAACCATTTTTTAAATAGGAAATTAAGCATTTAATGAGAGATCAAAAATTTTTTTTTTTAAAGTATTTAACGATATCCATTGATATTTAGGAAAAATGAAGGATTGGGTATTTTGTCTAAATGCTAGATTAAACCCAGTTTTTATCTGGATATGGTTGACAGAGTTATGTATCTATTACTATAGTTTAAATTATTGGTTAACATACAGGCTTGTTGGGCACTACATTATGATTTGAATCAAAGGATAATGTGTTCGAATCCGATTGTGAAAATAACACAGGGATACAAGTACATCCAGCTGACGAGTCCCAAATAGGGATAATCGGACATCCTGAATTCCAGCATTAGTTACTAACAAAATATACAGTAAACTGGAATTTGTTAATAATGTGCACTAAGTAGTTTCTCCTTCACTTAAGTGTTCTACCTGATCACAACTGGGTATCATGAATCTCATATCAGCTAAGATTATATGTATAGGCCATTATGTATTGATTTAAATATTGATGTATTACAAAAGATTTTGGTTTATATTTAGCAACTAATATATTTCCTTCCATTAAATTTAAATTTATGAATGTGGTTTATCTATTTTAATGGTGTATTTTTCTCAGTTAGGAAAAAATTTGAAATCCCTTATTCCTGTATGAAAACTATTATATAATATTATTGAATCAATGAACCGACCTAATTTAGAAAGATGTTGAGAAACATGGAAGCCAAAGGTGTACATTCTGTCCTAGTATGGGTCCACTTAACGGTGCGCATTCACGAAGTTCGACATGGTTTAGTAGCCTAGAGGGTAAGCGTTCACTCGGGAGACCGAAGTTTCTGGGTTCGACTCCCTCATGTGTGGTGGTGGATGAGCGCTTCTGAGTAGTCCCTTACTTGGAATAAACAGCCCTTCAGTACTTGAAGGTTTTCAACGGTGTTTCAACTTAGATCGATTCATGATTTCAATCAAATTCAGCAATCTCTACAACCACCTTACTAACCATGTAATTTTTATTCTCAGCAGACATTGAAGCCTACTGAATAATATTTAAGTAGCTTAAAAATATGTATAAAATAATGTTGACAATAATTGGTTTTAAAGAGGCTGTATATATTTACATAAATATTAAAACCTATGTATGTTGATGTGCTCTCATTTATATGAACTGTAAATCTTAAAGTTAATACAAAGTAATATGCAAATTGAAAATCTGTAAAATTCATTAATATTATGCAAATTATTGTATAAATAGAATATATGTCATGACTAACACTACTACTGCTACTCAATATGATCTTAATTTAAAATCAGAAATTTAATTAAATTTTTATTTAAACTTTCGGGATATTATGTTTGTATTCAAGGTGTAGCTTATATATCTGCACACCTATTTTAAATATGTTAATTTAATTGAGTTTGATCAACAAGTGAGTAGTTTAATTATACAATCTCTATATTTTTATGTTATATAATGTGAATAATAACAACAACAAACTGGGATGTAGATACATGCATTTGATGAATCTCATATAGAACAATGTACATATGTTTGTCATCACTGCTAGTAATGATCTATATATTCTATAATCTCTATGATTTTGTATTGTTTTTATGGGTAGCTTTATGTTTATTAAACAACTGTTGAAATAATATAATTAGTTAAGTTATACGTTCTACCTGAATTGGTCCTGACATACATGATGTATCACTGATCATCACGCAAAAAAGTATTATGTTAAGCTGATTACATGTAACACCAAGTAGGGTCGTTCATTATTAATAAAAAAAACAAGTGTGTTGCAGGCTTAACTATGTATTTTTCGTATCACACTATTTACTATTGAATAAAGTAACTTATTCAATAAGTCATTCAGTAGTATAATTCAAGTCAATAACTGAATCTCAGGGATTTTTTTGATATTCTACCTAAATTTCCAACTAATTTATTAAGTATAAACTTATTATAAACTTTCATCAGTATACAGTTATACCATGTATCATCTCAGTAAAATGGAAGAAAACTAAAAAAAATAAATTTCACAACAGTTAACATTAGGTTGGTTTAACAGTAAAGAACTAACTATAAAGAATATGATTTTAGAAGAAAGAATAAAATTAAATTAAAGACTATACATTTTAAACAATTTAAGATCTAGAGGAACATATAATTGATTTTAATCCATTTCACACTAATTACAAAAGATCATGAACACCATAATGATGTTTTCCGTCTGCCGACATGATTGATATCAATTAATTCAAACCAGGTGTTAGTTTGGTAACTCCAAACTTTCTTTCAACATATTCTTAAGTCACATCAGAGTAGGTAATGATAGCAGACAAGTAATATAGGTCTTATTCACACCTTCACTAATCAATTTTTTTTACTTTAATCTACACCTAAACTCAGTATTATACATTAGAATGTTCCTTAATTTACCCACTTTACTTTGAATTATTCTATGAACAAATATTTCCCAAACTAGCTTGCTTAATTCTATAAAGTGAATTAGAAAAAAAGATGTGTATTTATTGGCAAAACAGCTCAACAGGATAGTAATCTGTGTATTTAAAGGTTAATTTATTCACTGTTTAAGATCCAATTTACGGGTTCAAATCTCATATTACGTACATTCGCTTAGTTAACTGATTATGATATTTAGTCTAACAGACTGTTTTCATTATTATGCTTTGAATAATACTAAAGCATCTAATTCATATTAATAACCTATTTGTTTATATTATTAAATTTATATAGAAATTTGATGAAACATTCAATCAAATTTATCATAATAGTTTACAAAATTATTATTCAATTATGAATAGTTTATCAAAGTGTACAACATTATCTGAATCAACTGATAGTCAATTATGTTTTAATTCAAATTCCACAACAACAACAACACCGACTACTACTACTACTATTACAACAAAAATGAATGATAATACTACTTTTAATGAAAATAGTAGTATTGAAACAAATTTGATTCATTTTAATAAAGATTTATCATTAATGAATGAACAAAATGAACCAATCAATTTATGTATTCGTGATCAATTTAAATTAGATTTAATGCAATATACTAATAAAATGAAAATTATTAGTAATATATATTGTGCTAATAATATTCATAATCCTAATCGGAATAATATCGATTATTTTGGTATGAATCATTTTAATGGTAATAATATAAATGACAATTATAATAATAATAATAATAATAATTCATTTTATCTTACGGATTTAACTAATAAAATGAATATGAATTTATATGCTACAACCAATAAAATGATGTCAGCAGAGTTGAAATTATTACCAGACAGTTTAAACCAATTTCTTATGATGAATTATAATAATATACAACATAATTTTGATTATAATTCTGCTAATATTATTAGTACTAGTACTAGTACTACTGTTATTGATAATAATAATAGTAATAATATCCAAGGTAGTTCAATGTATTCTATAATACGTACACCTTCGCCAACAGTTCAACAATCTCATTTTGATAATGAATTTTTAACATCTACACCAGTATGGCGTAATAGGCCTACAGATGATATAGAAACAGTAAAAATTGAACAAGAAAATCTTAGAGAACAACAGAACGAAAAGGAAACATCAATAAATGAAGTTGAGAAAATGAAATGGAGAAAATATTCACGACAAATTAATCGTTTATATTATTCACGTAATAAAATTGTACATACACAACGAAAAATTCATCGAAAATTAAAAAATCATTCTGATAGTAATAATATACAGAAAAACCTAATTAACGATGAAGATGCTAATGATACTAAAGACAATGGTATTATCACATGTCGTACAAATACTAGATCAATTTGTAGGAGACGTCGTGTAGGTTGGCGTGGAACAACAATATGTGCAGCATGTGGGTTAATGTTTGAAGGAATGAATCAACTTAACACGCATTATTCACATGTACATGGAAGTCTTCTAGAATCAGAATGCACTTTTGCACAATATTCAAATAGTAAAACATCTAAATTACTATTTCAAGTGAGCAAAGTTTTAATTTATAGTGTCTCATCTTTTGATGCTTTTATGAAAGATTATTCATTTAAATATTTGTAAGTAGATAAACATACAAAAATGGATAGTTTTAGATAAGTCTATCCAGCTTTTTATAATAGCTCATGAATAAAATCACATAATAAGGTGTGTATATGTCACTTGTTTAGTTCATAGATTACCTTCTGTTGATCTTTAAAAAGTTCACCATATATGATTGAATGAATAATAATCATCAAATAAATTTTCAAGTTTCACTAATTAATTTCCCGTTATAACAGTATGAGAATGAAAATATGCCAGGAACCAATCTATCAGTCACATGTTTTTTCAACTGTTTACGTTACATGGAAGTGTAATAAATGAATTTGTCATAAGGAAACAATGGTAAATTAAAAAAAGAAGGAGAAAATTTTATGATCCGTAGATTGTAGTCGGTGTTTCGATTAAAAAAGGTTCATAAATCATTCATATTTATGAAGCATATGACTTAGTAATGAATGCAATAGGGTCTCGTTAAATCATTCATTGGTTCTTACCCACTTTATATAATTCAATTTAGGCAGTTCCAGTGATCAGTATTTAATTGACTCACTTAAAGTATCAATTAATTTTTTTTACATTTTTGATTTTTAGGCTCAACTTGATCTTTTAATATCTGAAAAAGAATTACAAAATAATTCGTTAACATCTACTACTAATGAAAAGAATTTTATCCCAACAACATCAATCTCATTAACAACATATAAAGAAAATCATTTTAATATTTCATCAATTAATTCAACTATTAATCATTCTATAAATAAATCAATTGATCAATCAAATCAACAAATTAAAAGTTATCCATGTCCAAAATGTAATTATATAGCTAAATGGCCAACAGAATTACAAAAACATGTTATGGTTCATGCAAATTCACGACCATTTATTTGTTGTGTATGTACAACTAGTTATAAATGGAGTTGGGATTTAGGTCGACATTTTACTAATTCACATCCTAATTTACCTAATCCATATAAACGTCAACGTATTCATAAAACAAATTTTAAATAAATTAAGATTATAACTATATTTATTAAATAGTTAACCAAATGACTTTAATTGCGCCTTCAATACATGGTGAAGATATATATATATATATATATAATGGACAAGTACATTTTAGTCTATTTCTATACACATATTATGTAATTTTCCTAGATCAATATTTGGTAACCATCTATTTTATTTATGAATTTTTTTTTTGTATTTTTTTGTAATGGAACTATGAAATTATTGACTATTTTTATTTCCCTTTTTTCAAATGCATTAAGTTTCCGTGTTAGAGACATTTTTTTAATCTCATGAATAATCAATAAACGTTACTATATAGGGAGGGGTATTCGAATGAAAATAAACAACAGAATTGTTTATTTTGTATTGAGATTCAAATATATTTTGTTTGTTTGTTTTGTTTTGTTTTGTTTTACTACATTGTAGTTTATTATTTAGTTTAGATATTTATTTATCACTTCGGTGATTTTATAAGGAAACTGTTTTTCTTTTTTTATTGTATCATACTATTTACTAATACTACTACTATTATGATTGTTGTTAGTAGTGTATATTTTAAAATTTTTACTTTTATAATCTAAGATTATTAATGCTATAAATATGTATATCTATAATAAATTAACGAATTGAATGACTTTTTCTCATTGTTTTATGTATATTATGGACTTAGGATAGAAAGTTTAGTGCAGGATTATAATCCAGTCTAATTGTACAGTTTAAATTCGCTTTTTTTTTGGTAATCAACGGAATACATCCACTAAGACATTAAATAAGAATGATTAGTTCAGCGAAGGGTTCTCCTCTTTTAAGGCGAATTCATTTTCAAAGTTGTACAATCGCAAATATACATATACTTATTTTTACAGGATGATAATAATACTAATAATAAACTTCTGTTAGACATGGTGACAGTGAAGTAAAATAGACAACAGTATTAAGATTTAGATGGTGGTTGGAGGTAGTCAACAGGAAACCCTGGACCCGGGTTTCGTGCCACTTGGCACTCGTCAGCAAGGTGTACCTGTAACCTTGAGGTAACTGGTGCTCCCTGGCGGATTCGATCTCGTGTCACCCAGCTTCACAGTCAGAGACGTTACCACTGAGCTAACCGAGCCGTGACTGACCTCCTGTAGGACTGAGATGTAATCACAATTGATTGAATAAACAACAGTATTAAAAAAATTTATAAAGCAAGGAAGGTTTAATAATCGTTTGATTGTTAATGGCTTATGTATTCATTAAAAGATAGATAGGGAAATTATGATTGGGAAAGGATGACTTACCATAATAAAATAAAATGTTGAAACAGAGATGAAATGTAATCGGATTGATCGTGGAAATAAAAACAAACCACTTGGGGGTAGAAGATTTAAAGGGAAGATGGAAGATGAAGCAGATGGCTGTAAAGGAACAAGAGTATGAAAAAAATAGAAAAATTTTAATGCATTAAGACTATGGTAGAAGAAGAGGTTGTATTAGTCTCTTTTTCATACACAATTCTGGTTTTTCCAGATGTATGGCTATTGCTTCGGCGATGCTGAGAAGATGTCTAATTGTCTTAGGAAGACTTCATCTTGTAAAAATAAGTATATGTATTTGCAATTGTACAGCTTTGAAAATGAATTCGCCGAAAAGAGAACTCTTCGCTAAACTAATCTTTCTTACTTTTTAAATCACTGAATGACATTAGCTGAAGAACTTGAGTTAGTCAGGAAACGTTGACTAGGTGTATTGTACCAGTTTGGGACGTTTTAGGAGTGCATATTAACTACTACACATAGAATCGAACCAGTGACCTAAGACTCATGTATTCAGCAATATTTTAATGATTTTTACATTAAAACCGATATTAGAGAAGGGTTTTATAATGAATTGAACTAGTCATGATATACAATATGCTGGGGAGATCTAGGAAATTCCTCAAAAAAAAGCCAAAGAGGGTTCTGAAAGTGCTGAGAAAACTCCTTATCCAATTAGCAGTCAATAGATGTCTTGCCAGAAACATCTAGAAATTGGAAAGCCACATGTCACGTTTCGGATTGGATGATTACCTATACCGCTAATATATTTAGCAGCGTTCCGGAATTTTCCAGAAGCCCAAGGCCATCGAAAATGCTATAAATACCCTCGGTTTTCTGTACATAAACGCACCATGGAGTAAAGGGTTTCTTCCATATTTCGTGCCTTTTCTTTCGTATTCGAACTGCTGTGTAGATCTAGCCTGGGGGTTACTAGAAGAGCTTAGGAACCGAGTCTAGTGTCCAATCAGAAGACTTAACAAAATGTTTCGATCAGTTGATAGTATACAGTGGTATGAAGTGACGGACAAAATTATTAACCTTAACGGGTTAATAACAAAATAACCTGCTCACATACAAAATATTGAAAAAGTCATGTAACATAAAAACGACTGAAGTATTTGGCATTGACAGATCATTTACTCTTTGGTGGAATTCATATGTAAATATTAGGCTTTCGATAATAGTCACACAGTATCGCGAACAAAGTGAATCCAGAAATATGAGCTACTCTATTTTAGTGACCTAAAGGGATCACGATTTTTATGGGACATGGCGATCCTTCATCATAGGTGTGGTCATAAATGTAGATTTTCGAGTTATCATAACATAGAATGAAGCATGTTTGGTGATGCTTAGGTTTCATTGATTTTAAAACTGATTATAACTTGTGGTAATAACCAGTAACCTTCAAAACTGACCGAAATCAACTCTTGGCTACTCTTAGTTTATTCAGGTTCTCTGATACTACCGATTACTTCCGACTGAGAAATAGTGTAAAATAAATTGTTTCACTGTGTTATGAAATAATTGTTAACATTATTGGGTTGCGGAGATTGTTGTGTTTCATTAAAACCATGAACCGGTTTAAATTAGAACATCGTTAAAAATCTGGAAGCACTTAATGACTGTTTTTTCCTAGTATGGGACCTAGGAGTGCACATCTACCACTATGTGCGGGAGAATCTAACCCAGGACCTTCAGTCTTGTTCGTAAACTCTATATCATTGAGCCGGCATCCGACGACGTTAATGTATAACTTCTTAGATGCGCATTGCTCAGGCGTTTGATACTAGGGAAAACGTCCGTTCAGTGCCTTTAGCTTTTCAATGGTGTCCAAACATAGATCGGTTCATGATTTAAATGAAATTGATTTTATATTGACATAATTCTATTTAGTCTTTGATATTTGTATGTTTGTTAAGTATTAAAATCCTATGGATTCACGAACTTAAGCATTTTGTTAATGCCACGTATGTCATTAATAAACATTGTTGGGTGGTCAAACTGAATTTTTACCTTATCTTACGACTATATTTTATCTGAATTTTTTTCTTACTCGGGTCTACAAATTCACTACTTTTCAACTACTGATATGTATTTAAGTAGCCACCATAAATATTGAAAAATGTAGTTGAAAGTCAGGTAAACATGGCCCTAGTAATAACAAGAAATCATAAGATATGGGTAATTTGATGAAACCGGGGTTTTACTTGGCCACTACTGTTTATATCTTTTAAATACTATTTTTTTTAGCTTAACGCTGTCAGGTAGAAGTAAATACATACGACAACTTCGAATAATATTGTTTAAACAATACAACCAACGTTATATTAACACGTCGTTATAGCCCTAGCATTACAGCTTTCCATTACTAATATTTTATCTCTAACCACAAATAAATTTGTGAATTCTGAAAAAAATTGTTTGTTTCAATTAAGGTGGAAGTTTAACAAATTGTAGACTAATCACCTAACCGTAGCAGCCATTAATGAAATTCTGAAGGTAACCATTATATTAAGTATAATAATGTTTATATTTCATCCAGGACAGTTAAAAAGGTTACCCTGAATTATTCATTTTATGTATGGTAACTTCTAAAATGATATTGTTAAAAGGATTAAAGTAATAGCATTCATAGTCGGAATGAGAATAAACAGCTATCATCAGACTGAGTGATGTTGATTTGATTAAGTATATTTTCCATTGTAAGATTAAACGCCTGTTGGAATTAGTTGCTAAGATATATGAGATTTGAATCAAAGACTATATATTAGTTGTCTCTAATTGTCCGACACCGAAAAGAATAGCAGACATATTCATCAAAACATTCCCAGAATTTACTGGGAAAAGATGGACAAACAAAAATGAGAATGAAATGAGCATCGTTAATAAAGAGTAAAATATATAGGTTCAATATTTCATAGACAAATAAATACACAAACGATACAGATGATGGTCAGATCAGACGAATAACAAAGGAGTCGAAATAATGTAGTAGCATATGTATTAGGCAAAACTAAACATCAAGAATATGGTTCAAAAAGACAGAATAAAAGGATATATATATATATATATCGATATATATATATATATATATATATATATATATATATATATATATATATATATATATCGATATATAGATTATGGAATACTAGAAATCATAACTTAGAGAAAAATAAAGAGTGAAGACATCTGCGCCACTGTGATCAAATCTGAATCATTTCATCCAAGGTCTCCAAACAATGATCACGGTTATCACGAGGAATTCAACTAGGTAGTTTCCATTTATCAAAATGACTCAGGCTCACATTCAGTGATTTTATGGATTGATGTGACATTTAGGTTGGACTGATAGTTGAATAAGTAACAATATACCACTATTTTAGGTGTCTCTTGTTGGCTGGCAATTGTCGCCACCTATAATCTTGAGGGAATTGATGCTCCTTGGTGGATTTGAACCTAAGTTAGTTAGATTCACAGTTCAAGGCGTTAATTCGGGCCGCATTCACTTCCAATCATCTAATATCAAAAACTATAACGATTCATACTTTCAAAACTTTTATTACTTGGTTAACCAGTGCGATTAACATCATCATCACGTGATGACATGGGTGAGCATCTATTTTGTTCCTCATTATGATGATTGATATTACTTGCATTATATAAGGTTTAAACATATGTTATTATGTTTGTTTC